TACGTGGTATAAATCAGAAAGAAATTGACAGACATAGACCGGCCAAAAAACGCCGGGTGGGTGTATATCGAACAAAAAATGGAGGAAAAGTGCAGATGCGTATGCAATCGACCATTGAACATCACGACCTAGTCAAGGAAGAAGTGAAAAAAGATACAAGGAACAAAGTTATTCATTAGGTGATTTGTTCAAGGTCAGTCAGAGACAGACACGAAGCGAAGATGCACAATAGTCAACAAGAAAAATGTACCCGATGCTGTGCAATAAGCATGGCAAGAAAGAAGAAAATAAAAATGATGAAACGCTGATATATAGATCAAACCAGCAAAACATTTACAGTGTCACAAGAACAACAAGGGCCACCAGGACACCGAAGAGAGAGCCACGGAGGACACGCTCGTTCTGGCCAGCCGCACCGCTGTCCTGGGTAGGAGATCCCTGGGTGAAGCCCGAAGTGGAAGTCTCCGAGCCATCGGTGGTGGAAGTACCGGAGTCAGAGGAAGTGTTGTCACCGGACATGCCACCAGAGCCGCCGGAGCCGGTGGGGATGCTGTTGGACGCAGAGCTGGATGAAGAACTGGACTTATCAGCGCCGAGATCCATGTCAAGACCGGTGGCGCCGAGGGAGGCAAGGACGGTGGAGTTGTCGGTGATAGAGATATCGCTCTCCATGGCAGCGGAGTTGGCGTAGATGTAGGCCTTGTCGCCGTCCTTCTTGGCATCGGAAGGAGCATCGTAGCACTTCACGCTAACCTCGCCGACGGTGGCATAGTAGTAACCGGGATCCTGAATGTCCTCGCTGTTCCAGTCGATCTCACCACCAGCCCAGTCGATGGTGCCCTGGGCGTTGCTGGCCTGGCCGGCGGGCCAGAGCGACATCTGAAGGCGGGCGGGTGTCTGGGGGAACTCGTACTGCTTGGAGGTCTCATTGTAGGTGTCGTCCTTCTTCAGGGTGCGCTGCACGGAGCCGTCGACGATCCAGTCCACCTTCTCAGGGGTCCAGTCGATCTCGTAGGTGTGCCAGTCATTGAAGGTGTCCTCGCCATCCACGGTGATGTTGCCGCTGTTGTGCCCTAATTCATTAGGTCAGTATCGATTATTCGGATCAGATGTTTCTTCTATTGGCTTTGACTTACAGTCCAGAACACCCTGCCAGTAGTAGTTGGTTTGCACCGTGGTCAAATCAGCGCCGACCCACTCGTAGTCGATCTCGTCCTTAACATCGGACAGAAGAATGAAAGCGGTCACGACACCCTTGCCACGGGAGCTCTTGAACTTTCCGGAGATCTTGCCGTACCAGATGTAGTGGTTGTTGGCGAAGAGAGTACCGACACTCTTGGCAGGCATGGTCATGATCAGATTGCCATCCTCGGTCTTAACCTTTCCGCTGTAGGTCCAGTCGGCAGCGCTGGCGTTACCAAGGTACTTGTCCTGGGTGACGGCATTGTCGAGGTTTTCCCAGGTGTAAGTCTTGCTCTCGCAGACGGGCATTGGGGCGCAGGAATCAAGAGAGAACGAGGCGAGAGGGTCGCAACCGCCGAGACAGTAGGCACCAGTACCACACTCACCATATTCTGCGTTGAAAAACCTGTTAGCTATGAATTGCGATCTGGAGGATTATCACTCACGGGAGCAGCAGGGGTATTTCTCCTCCTTGCACTGGCTGCTAGAGTTGCACTTCTGTGCGGCAAAGGCGCTCACTGACAGCGAGGCCAGGAGCAAAGATGTCACAAAGCGAACCATTATTATGTACTGTTTATATATACAGTGGAAATGACAGAATATCGAGGAATTTGAATCCAAGCCACAGGAAATGAGGGAAAGTGTGGGGAAGCGAAAAAAGGGGGGGGAAATAAGGTAAGTTAAAGGTGTATAAAAACGAGAGGCAGCAAGTGAATATAACACTGCAATGGCGAGGATTATAACAGAACGAAAGCAGTTCTGGAGTCGCTGGAAAGAGAATGAAAACGGAGGGAGGCGAATAGTTATTAATATGATATTCATCCCCCTCTGAAAACATGGAAAATGGAAAATGGAAAAAACAAGAATAACATGAATTGACATGATCTAACCCAATCAGGATGAACTCCGTCAATCCTGGGAAGGTAGGGTCCACGGCTCGGAGTTAAAAGGGTCAACTTTCTAACCTTGGAATGATTCTGATTGGCTGTCTTTTCCCTTTACTTTTTTTCCAATTTTTAATTTTCACTTTTCCTTTGTGGAGAGGTTCGGGGATTTCCGTCTGTGCGTGATATTAAATGGTATTAAATGGTAATTCTTGGTATTTTAAATTAGTATTGAGCAGCTGATCCCAGGTGATGATAGCCGGATTCAACGTGGTATGACAGAACAGAAAGATAGTCATCCCTGCGACGGAATTTGACCAAGTTAGCCAATCTTAGCTTTTACTTAAATTAGTCTATCTGACCAATGATTCCCAAAATACCCCGAGTCCATGCGTGACGTTGAAAGTGAGACAGCTCCAGGTGTTTGCAGTGGAAATTGTAAAATGAATAGAATACTAGCGCGAGCATTGGTACTTTTCCACTTTCCCTTTCTCTGCGGAGAAAGCACTTTGCATTGATCGACATGCGGTTCGGGAATGTCTACATAATCGGGGTACTCGATATTGAACTTCATATGTACTATACGGAGTGTGAAGTACATTTTGTTTTGTACAATCGAATATTGCACGTTGTGCACTTTGATACCCCTGGAGCCGGACCTCCGATATCCATTTTTGTGGGCGTCTTGAGCCGAACCAATTAGGCCGTCCGAAAATTAAATGTGGCCATTAAGACAAAGAGGAGGAATCAGCCCCAAATTTCGATAATATTACTCCACGAGACTTGCATTAGGCTGCCACAAGCTCCCAAGAGCTCGCTACACTCGAATATCCCCTCTCGGCACTCTCGGCACCAAGCGCCCGTATTCCGCACTAGGAAGCTCATTTCGCCCCCAAGACTTGACCAGCGAGTGGAATCACCTCCCGCCTATTAAAACGGTGATCCAAGACTATCTAACCTTATCTGCCTCGGTTGTTAGCCAGTCACCAGATACCGGCGGATACACCAAACACTGGGCAGGGGACGCAGATCGCTAGTGTTGGGCACGGGCGTAAAATGACAGATCATGGTTCTTTAGCTCCATTCTCGTTCTCGGTTATGCGTGGCTGGGTGCGATAATAGGGGGAACTGATAACGGACAAGATAAGCATAACCCGACTTTCTTCACCAGCAACCGACTGTTTTCAGGTATCCTTCCAGAAGGAATGTGGCAATCTCCGATCTACATGCATAAGTGACTACAGACACGTCATTAGATCTACCCCGTATGATATCTCGTTATGTACGCTTTGGAAGCCAAGGGATGTGTCATGTGTCACGATGGAATGTAAGGGGATTTGAGTATTGGTTACTTTTGCTGCAGTTAAACAGGTTTCGATCGGACTACATTGCACGGAGATGGTGGCATTGGAGAAAGAGCAGAACTTGGTCTAATTCAAAATATGGAAGACACGTTTTCTCCAATGTTGAACCTGTGCGTCAAATTCCATGAGTGTGTTGAGTTGCCTCTTCTAGCTTAGTGCACTTATGACTACTCTACAGTTCTTGTTCGTACCCATAGATTAAGACCACATGTTTGAATCATAAACTCCCGTTGAAAACAAGAAAGTAGTAATCCATAGAAAAAGAATTGCATGGCTTTACAAATGAATTGATCAGCGCATTGCTCTATACCGAGCAAGTATGGGGGGTTAATACCAGTCTTATTTTCCAATTCTCCATGTCCATGGACTCTGCTCTCTATCGGTTATACAGAATGTCTCCTTCAATTGCATTGAAATAATTATATATGCTGGGTCAAGAAACAAAGCGAAAGAAAAAGAAATTCAGGTATGCTCTAGTATATGAGAAACCCTAGTTGATCGCTATCTACCGGATAACCACACTTCACTTTCAGCTGGTTCTTTGGTTTGCTGTGAACAAGTTGCAATGCTTTCATGGTGGCAACGATGCCTAGCAGCACATCAATGACTTTTATGTCCTCTTCGAAGTCCACGAGTACCCTTTGTGCTCGTAGTACTGGCGTCGTAATGACATCAATGACAGGCTTGGTGATATTGGTCCCATCTTCTACACGAGCAGGGGTGCTTGGATTCCCTAAAGTCCTATTCGAGGTAGGTCTAGCACCCGCGCAAATGTGATTCTGGCTCTCTCCGGCTGCCTTGGACCTGGGACTTCTAGACCATTGGCCAGAGTACGTGGGGCATCTGGAAGATAGGCAGAATACGAGGCCAGTTATAAGTATCTGGCTGCGTAGCAGTCAATCGGATAGAAGTGGAGTGTACAAACGGCGGTTAAGAAATGAGCGAGTGCATAAGTGAGATGAATATGATTGTGACCAAGTGGGCAAATAGGATGAGATCAGATAGAGAGGTGAAGCGGGTCTCCGTCCAAAGATGAATGAAAGTTGAGATTGCGATGAGTGTAAGGTCAGTGCTGATATTTGGCAATGAAGGACAAGAAAGATCGCTGTTGTTATTGCTGTTGGAGATGAAGCAGGGAGCAGAGCTATCATGTTATAAGTAGTGCTTATAACCTTGGATGCAGGAAGAATATGCTAAGTGACCTCGGGAAAGAAGCATGACAACATAAGGACACAAATGCCTAGGCAATAGGCAGAGTCTATTATTATATCTCCACTAAAGCGCCGTAGTGATGGCAGACCCAAGAGACTGTAGAATCGAGGTATAAAATAGACATTCCTTGGATCTTCAACTCTCATCAACCATCGCCTTCCATCCCAGTTCTCACCAATAACCTTAGAGTCTTCAACAACTGCATGAATAATTGCAACTCCTCCCTCTTTCTTACCTTCCTCGCCTTGCTACTAACAATTTCGGCGTGCGCTTTCTCGCTACTGCCAACCTAGTACCTACATACCTGGTCTTCTCGCCTCACCTTTACTTCTGCATCACATCATATTTCCTTTACGACATGGCTACTCGAACGCTCGAGAAAATACGCAGGGCTCAGTCCCTCCTTCGCGAATGCCATGGCTGGGTAATTCATAACCGCTTTCATCAGTTTCACTTCAGATCTCACGCTAACTTTCTCGACGAACAGCTTGTGCAAAACGATGAGCTCCTGCTAGCAGTTGAGCTGTGCGCAATAGAAGGCAACCTCGCACTTCTCTTCGAGAACAGAGGTCTTCCCAGTTCCCCTGTCCTGGAATTCAAGAAACGGAGGTTCCTCCCCTTGTGAGTACTGAGTACCACATGACACATGATAATGCATTGAATGCTGACATTATCAACAGCGTCTCTCCAATAGCCAGAAACGCCGAAACCGCCGTAGAGCCTACAATGACTACCGCAGACCTCATCCAATTAACAGGGGCAAGCGCGAAGCCTCCGCAAGTCGCGCTGGCGACACGCAAAATTCCCAGGCTCAGGCAACAGCAAGTACCGCTAGGGACACAGCGAGGGACTCAAGTAGCCCTGATGCCGACCCCGGACCCCCTCGAGTTCAAGCTGCCGTGACAGCAACATCGCCGCCAGAGGGCGTGCTATTGGATTTCAACCACGACGTGGAATTTGTACGATTTCCACCAAACATGGTCGCCGACATGGAAGCAGCACAAACGGCCAATCTTGAATCAAAGGGGAAGCAGAGCTTGTCAGAGCGGCCCGCTGTTATAGGCAGCGATGGGCCAGCTCGGGGGGTCTTGGTCCCGGTGGACGGTGACGATGGATCCTTCCACCAGACCATTGCTGCTGCGGTTCATGCCGGCTCAGCGGGTCTGGACACCCCCGTCAGCAGCCACTGTTCTCCCGCGGTAGTCAAGGAATGTGTTGTCCTAGTCACGACCCAACCACCGCTGCCAGGTTCGCCCGTGTCCGGCTCCATTGAGGGCAGGTTACCTCATGCATCGCACACAAACCAGCGGGCGCAGGAGGTCACTAGGGGCACGTTGATTGATCTTGACAATGACCTGACTGTCGTCCTTCCAGGTGGATTTGACGCCGACACACGTCCAGAAGAAAAGGATTTGCTTGCAGCTGGCCTTGATTCCGGGTTTACCCACAATCTTGCACCAGAGGAAGAAGACGATGAGATCGTTTTCCAGGGAAATGCAGCAAACGGTATCCGTCCGGATTTCAAGGCCTTGTTTGTCAGTTCAGACGATGACTCTCAAACCGGTCGTCGTGCTATTGATCTCACAGCAGTCCTCAAGAAATATTCGGAGGTGATCATTTGCAATTGACCATTTCTTACATCTGTTCCTTTTTGTTTTGCATTCTACATGGGTTTCTACCTCTCTTCGGTTTTCCCAACAGTATTTGAAATATGAAAAGGCCAAAAAAAAAGAGAGCGCGTTAGGGTGTCCTTGGGACTCATCCTTCTTCTCTTCCGCCAAGGCAGTCTTTTATTTTTGCTCTTGTTTATTGATTTTATCTTCTTGCATGTATTGCCCCGAACAACCTTAGGATATCAGGTTGTTTGCGGGAGGCGCATTTCATGATTTTTATGGCTAGCTTACAATGGCACGCCTTTTGTACAAAATCTTCACTTCTTGTATTCCCTCGGTGGCTTTCTGTAACTTATATCTCCCAGTAAATTGCCACCAGGTATTCAGGCATTGTTCATATGACCCCACCTGAATTGCTTGGTGATCATAGATTCACAGACAAGTCATATTGATATGCTGTGTAAGATACGAGAAGCTAAGGCGCCATCGGAGCCAAATGAGCCAATAATTTTCAAAGCAGACATCAGCTAACTAATAGACCTTAAAAAGAGACACTATCTATAAGGTCACCAAGTAAATACCGTGGAAAGGATATGAACGAACAGCGAGAATACCGTGAGACGACCATCCAAGACAGCATAAGAAGGACATAGAGAAAAGAAATCCAGACCTTGTGAAATACATAGAAGCCGAAGACAGAGTATAGACAATACGCTTAGTGCGCTAGATATCAGAGCAGCCGCCATTGTAGCTAGGCAGGACTGGTTGCTGTCCGTTATTTTTCAAGATAGGTAAGGATTTATAGTGATAGATTATCATATATCTATAGAAACCAGCACGTGGTTCTCGGCCAAGGCCAGTGAGATCAGATTCCCACCAGACAGGAAGGTCGATATGAAATAGGCTGTGGTAACACCGAGTAGGATAAAACTGGGGGATAGATAAGATGATGATGATGGCGATGAGAGAGGTACCTACCTAGGTAGGTATATCGGAACATGTAAAATGAATCATTGGTCTTTGTCTTCATCTCAATGAATGTTCACACGCAACCTCAAACGGGTTGAGACAAGGCCCTGTGAAACATGTTGATAAAGGAAAGGGATAACAAAGGCGGCAGAAAAGAGGCATTGTTAGGTTATATGTTGAAGTTGATCTTTACAACTTCCAAGATTAGGTTGTAGAAAAGTGTGCAAGTCCAGGTTACATGTGACATAGAAACTGGACGTTGCCTATATCCCGATGGACAAGACCTTCAGCTTTATACTCAAATAAATTTCTACGGTTAATTTTAGATACACCAGAGATAGATAGCATCACCATAGAATACAGCAAAATATGTCGATCAAGTCAGATAGATATCAGATAGATAATCAGATGTGCAGCATTATGTCGTAAGAAAAGATAGATAGAAGATAGCCCAAGACATTGAGTATTAAAGAAAAGAAACAAACACCATGTAACTCGTAGATGCCTTCAATCTTTGAACTCCGGCCATGCTTGACCTGGCTAGACCCGAACCCCCACCAAAATGTAGAAAACAAGAACCTGCAACCCGACGCAAGAAGAATTCAATCCGAAAGTGAAATTGTCCTGGTAAATTCAAACTCCGAGATCAGTTAACCATGGCGAAGCAGAAACTAGGAAACAATAGGCCTAGAAATTAATGACAAAAAAAGATTAGAGAGGCATACATTATGTGCCAAATAAATGTATCATGCAACTTGGAGGATGAAGGATGGGCGGGCGTCACACCAGGCGTCGTCGTGGAAGGAAAAAAGTAACGGTATAGAAACCGTGGTAGGGGTGTGCAACGAAAAGGTCAAGCTTTCTATGGATTGCTTGCTCATCGAGGAAGCTTCTTGTTCGGGGCGACAGTTTTAAATTGGACTCTCGGCTGGTAGTGGACAGCACCACCGCCCTCAAGCCAGGGTCCGAGATTCTTGCATTGACTGACATCGAAAACCTGGAGTTGGTGGCAGCCCTCCGCGACGGCCTCGACGCCTACTCCAGTGACTCGAACACAGCCCCGGACCGATAAATGTTGAAGAGAAAGTAGGTGAAGACCGATGCTCCTTAGGGAGGGATCGGAAATTGCAGAGCCGCAGAACGCCATGTTGAGATACTTCAAACGTGAGCATTGCAAGGCAAGGACCTCGGTTGCTGTATCTGACAATGCGCAGCAAAAGGTCTGGTAACCATCAGTAAACCATGATATTTCACGTTTAGCTTGACAGAGCCCGGCGAAGACTTGACTTACCAGATCTAATTCCTCCAAGTTTTTGGCCGCATTAGTTAGATGCACAATGGCGTTATCCGTCAAATATGTGCAATCCGCTAAGCAAAGCTTTCGCAGGTTGGTGAACTGAGCATTCCCCCAGTATTTGAACCCTTGATCAGTGATTGTGGTGCAACGAGTTAAATCCATTTCCTCAATCCGACCAGCGGCGTGAGACGCAATGTGGTGCATAGATCGATCGGTGACATGTTTGCAGTATGAGAGAGTGAGTTTCTTCAACTGTGGACAGCCGTACACTGTACATTCTGCTGTCTGGATTGTGGGCTTGATAGATGACTGTTTCTCGCCCATCTTCTGGTCGGCGGGCACTACCCATCCAATGATACGGGCAAGAAGCGTGTCTCCGACCTTGCGGCAATTGCTCAAGTCTACCTCCTGTATATTCGTAGCTTTGCTGGACATGTCAAGTATGGCAGAGGCCGTTACATCCCACACACTCTTCATCTTCCACACGGTCGTATTTGGGGCGCAAGTCGCGGCCAACGCGGTGAAGCCTTCGTCGGTGATGTGAAAGCAATTGTTGATATTGACCGATCGGGCTCGATTGCCGACAAAGGGACAGATGATCTTAATAAGAACGTCATCTGTAATCTTGCGGTTGTAGACGCTCAAATTTAGATCTTGAACCACGTCCGCAGATTTAGTCAAGAGCTCTGACCAATGGGACGATACAGCCCGAATCCGAAGAAGGTGGTGAAGCTCAAGGAATTGGAAAATGTTCAGCAATACACTGTCTGGGAGTAATCCATTGGAGCCGTCGATCCGGGGCCGCTCGGTCCGAGACGACGTGGAGAGGCTGGCAGTTTCGGGAAGAGCGATGGTTGAGGAACTGGCAGAGCGCGGCTCCGTGGGAGATGAGCGCTGCTGTTCTCCTGATACCTCCTCGGGGGCTAATGGTGCCAGTGAGCCGCGTCGACTTCGCATCCGGACTTTATCCAGACCAATGCTGAAGTATGGGTCGGGGTCGGAGGGCCGCAACACATCCTGATCTTGATCCTCGACATGCGAGGATTGATGGGGTCCATCAAGTTCAGTTTCAGTGAGGGTAAGTAGTGGCATTGACCGTCGCCGCGATGATGTGATCTTTACTCTATCGTCAAGGGCAAGATCACCAATAGATGGTTGTGGTTCCGCTTCGTCAGACATAACGACATCGCCATCGGCTGCCGCCTGGAGCCTTGCCTGGGCAGTGCGTTGGACTTGGTCCCGCACGTCGCTAGGGCATTTCTCCCAAAATTCAGCAAGGACGTCACCGTCGAGCATTAAACACTCAACCGAAGTTACAGATCGAACGGTAGCAGTTCTCCGAGGTGCTAAATCTAGGCTGACCACCTCACCAAAGTATTGGCCTTGCTTGAGCCTAGCTTTGACCTCAATTCCAGGCCGTTCAATGAATCCGTTTGGGCTGTGTTTGTTTGGTGAGGGGTGGTTCATCTCCGCCTTTTCCGTAAGAACCTCCACTTCGCCGCGAACAATGAAGTAGAGCTCACGGCCCTGGGAATTTTGTTGTATGATGTCGGTAAATGGAGGGAAAGATCGCGGTTGGGCATTGAGACCAAGGTAGTGGAGAATATCGGCAGGCAAACCAGAAAAAAGCGGCAGCTCTTTAAGTAAGAGACGTACGTTGACCAATCCATTTGCCAATGCACTGGAGCCATCCCGCCGACCGGGACTCGGTGACTTCCTCTTCTTGTACACAGACTTGGCATTCAAGTCCCCATCATCCTCTACAACCGTTAGATCCTTTGAAAAGCTCTCGCGCAGTCTTTTTGAGCCTCTTCGTGCCGGGCTCGGCAAATCCAGTGCAGGTGCGGAGGTTTCTTTTTTCTTCTTTTCTAAAATCATCAACCGCTCTTCTGCCTCCTCCCGGATCGCCTGTTCAACCTCCGGAAACCGAGGCAATATATTCCGAAAGTCGTCTTTTGTCAGCACGACCAGCATGCATCGAGTCCGGGCGATAATGGTCGCAGTGCGAGGACGGTCCATGAGCAATCCAATCTCCCCGAAGAATGCACCGGGTTTGAGTTCGGCGTATATACTCTCGCCATCCCGAGACGTGACCGAGACGGCACCCCGCACCAGCCAGTATATTGCCTTTGCCTCATCGCCTTCCGTCAAGATATAATCGTTGGGCGCGTGGAGCTGTGGGCGCAGGTGCTGTCCAACCTCGATCAAAAAGGATTCCGGAGTAGCTTGGAACAGCGGGAAAGATCGCAACCGATCTACCAGTTCCAAGGGCAAAGCTTTGATGTGGGAGGAGGCCAAGGGCGAGGGGCGCGCGGGTCGGTTTGGGTTCATGACCGAATCGAACGAACGTATGAGGGATACCGTGTCGGACAAAGGCGAGACGGCCTTGGTTGGACCGCCACTGGACCTGCCATGGCGACGCATTGTGATGTAGATCGCGATTCCGAGTGAGGATGTGGGATAGATGGGTCAATTATTTCTCCCAGGTTATGAAGAGGTCAATAAATCGATGACGTCGACGAAAGCAGCGTCGAACTTCGCATCGGCATTTTCAGCGCCCAATTGCTATCGCGGAGTTCAACGGACAGACATAGACGTAAGATACAGAGGAGAAGCAAATGGGAAAAAAAGGTCAGAGACGACAAGTTCGAGCTAAAGGTGTTGAGGTGGGGGGTTTTCCGAATCAGCGACGTCAAATGCGGTTTCTCCACCGAGATCACCTGGGAGTCTTCGGAACTCTATGAGAACCTCCACTCTGGTTTGGAATTATTCTAAAATTTTGCAAAATCAATATAGATCAGTATAGATACATATTGCCCTTGAAGATGTTTTCTTTTCCTTCTTTTTCTTTTTTTTTTAGTGGGGGACGTCAGCACTGAGCGGTCAATCACCATCCTTTGAACCTGCAGCATCCGGGCCGATCTTTTCTCTATATCTTTTTGCTTATCCCCGGAAACAAAGAAACCCACGGACGCCAATTAGGAAGACATACAGCGTAGGCGTCACTCTCAGGATATTAAACCCGCTGGTTTACATTATTTCATACCTCTTTGTGTTGTGACAGGCATCAGACTTGTCTTCACGTTATATTACATTAATTCCAGGGCCATGTATCCACCCAGTACGGAGTAGTTCTAGATTAATGGTTTGATATTTTTGTAGAGTTACAGAATCTAGTCTAAATGCGATCTAGTCACGCCACAATGGCTTTGCTAATCGACTTGTAGCATGATCATACTCCAACACAGAATCCGGCGATGGGTCACGTGTCCCTAATGTAGCACCCCGGGGGCAAAGATATTCATTTGGTTTGACGCGAATTGGACAGGTGGGTATCAAAAAAAAAAGCAAATAATACAAGTAACCAAGAGTGTGGCGTGAACGTTGCTGCCAAGAATCTCGATCAGATGAAGAAAGGCCGGGGTGGTCACCGGACTAAATATCTCAGAGTGGTTCGATGAGGTCCTAGACATAGTAATTGGGACGGCATTGACTCGGATATGTGGCTCATCTCGCTAGCGTCGAATGTACGCCGTCTGCAGCAGGATACATAGCAGCCATTTCTTCATCGAACACGGAAGAGCGTCCTAGGGAGTGAAATGGGAGAGCCTATAATATTGGTTCTCGGCATTGGGGACTCTCAGGCTTGCAGTGAGATTGGAACATCGACACACAGAAGGATGTAGGGAGGCTTTGTGATATGGGCCCGCCTATGATCAGATTGATCCTTCTTTCTCAACCTTAGACCGACGGTTACCGAGGAAGAAATCAATGTAGGCAGGGCTGTTTCCTTTCAAAGTCCCAAGGGCATCTTGCAAAAGACCGTAGGTCAAGCTCAATTTCAACCCAAGCTTCGCTGTGCGGGCGGCAGTGTAGACATCGTGACGAGCTGTGTGGGCAAACTAGGTCAGTTCCGGGTTCCTCCAGCAAGTGTGCCCAAGCGGAATAGTTTCTTACCAAGCAAGCTGTATATTCCGGAGAATGACAGTCCAGCAGTGACTGTCGACAAAAAGTCTCTCTCATCATGCCGAGCATAGTCCACTGTCTCCTCGAATAGACAGAATGCAAGTGCGCCAGCACCGAGCTTAAATCCCATCTTCATGCCATCCTTGACACCTCCGACCACACTGATATAGTTTTTGGTTTTATGATACTGGAACCACCCTGTCGATGTCGTGGGGAAACGATGCGCATTCTCGGCCCGAAACACAAGCCCTGCCCTTTTGCTGCCGTGATAGTACCCGAGTGCCATTCCAGTCGAGAAAGCAGACATGGTAGCATACGGTAGCCGCTTGCCGAACTCAATTCCTAACCGTGGAGGGCTGTCGGATTCAAACAGCTTGTCCCAATGTACGATCTTGAGGACGATAGAATTATGCGCCGAGTCGGTAGATGGAGGGTGATTGGCCTCCATGATGAGGCTTGTAAAAGAAGAATAAGGGTACTAGCAACAAATTTCACGGGTTGGCTATAAAGAATGTGGTGAATGTGAGCAGCTGATGCTGGCAAAGCTCAGAAATTGGGAGCGCGGAACTCGGAGTCCCGCAGGATTCTCCGCCTTCTGCCACTCTCCCAAATCAATTATTACATGCACGCGAGCTACCCTTTAATCCCCACACAATCTCCAAGATGGTATGTGAATTGGCATTTTCAAAACAATATTATCGAATACAGGATAGCTAATTATCGAGAAGCCTCCCAGACAATCCAAAACCGACTCTCGCGCTCTGACCATCCTCTTCAAGAAGCATAAAACCACTGTCCTTCTGATGCTCCAACCCCACGAATCACTCGACTTCGCCAAAGAACGGCTTCTGGATGCTCTGCAATCGCGAGAAATTACCAACATAAATGGCGATGTTCTTCCTGACGACTCCTGTGATATTGAGTTCGGTGAACCGGTCGACCGAGCGGACCTCTCGAAAGGTTGGAAGCGCCTCCAAGCAGATGCACCAGAAATAGACACCGAGGATGCCCCGAAGAGGAATAAGGGCAAGTCACAAAAAAATCCAGTAACTATAATGGAGGCCGGTCTTCAGAATGGGCATTCAATTGCCTTCCGCTTCCACAAATCCAGTGAGGGTCAGAATGGCGGTCTTGATATGGACCTTGATGGTGAGGATAAAGGCTGGGATGTCGTCATGCCGGTCTACGATGATGAGCCAGAGGAACGAGGTTAGGGTCACTGTGACTTGCGAGAAAGAGCTAGGTCAGACGATATACGTCTGTGGCTTTCGGCGTTTCAGAGGGAGGGCTTTAATGATTCAAAGCATCATATGGCGTTTGTTCAGGCGAAAAATGGTATTAGCACAACAGCAACACCGAAAGCGATGTTTCTCGCTGATAGCTTGTCTATAACTCTGGAGCAAATACACACGCTTTATGGTAATGATAGCTGGCGTTGTTGCTTATTATATGCAATTTGGAGAATTGTTACAGTGATAGTCGATGTCATAATAATATCACAATCACCTCCTACAGCTTATTGTCAAACATCCGGGGGTTAATACTATAAAAAGCCTAATTGTAACCACAATTCGGCCGATCTTGAACAATGAGAAAATAGTAGGTGGGAATAGAGCAGATAAGTCGTGTTCAGCACCTGAAACACACAACATAATGTGTGACTAAGTACTCTTAGTATTGAATGACAGGTATTGCCACGGCCGAAGGACCAAACTCCACTATAAAACCGTTGCTCGGAGCAACCACTAGATGACAACACGCTCATGCATCAACAAATGAAATCGCTTCAAGGTGCCCCCCTCGGAGAATACCTGCACCCCCTACCCCATACAACTTGAGATCCATTCTTCGACTCCTCTACATTCCTTATTTTCGACAACTAACCAAGCTTACCCCTTGGCCTTGCCATTGCAGGGTGTCGCCAACTGCCTGACGTACCGGCCCCGCAAAACAGCTTCGCGATTTGGGGTTGATCCGACCCGACCTTCCAATATGGCTGCCTCCGACGGCGCTTCCTCGATCAGCGTTGCAGTCAGAGTCCGTCCTTTTACTATCAGGGAGGCAGCCCAGATCACACGATGTGACGAGGGTCCTCTGTTCCTCGGCGACGGTTCCCTCGCAGGTGCGCCGACACCGAAGCTTAACCAGAAGGGTATACGATCTATCGTTAAAGTAATTGACGACCGCTGCTTGTGAGTATTCTATGCATTATGAATATTGGGTCCAACATCCTAACTGGACTAGGGTGTTTGACCCCCCCAGAGGACAATCCTGTCCAAAAGTTCTCTAGGAGCGTGGTACCAAATGGTAAACGTGTCAAGGACCAGACCTTCGCCTTCGATCGCGTCTTCGACCAAAATACCTCCCAGGGAGAGGTATACGAATCTACAACACGCAGCCTGCTCGACAACGTGCTCGACGGATACAATGCGACGGTGTTTGCGTATGGAGCTACCGGATGTGGAAAGACCCATACAATCACCGGAACTGCCCAACAGCCCGGTATCATCTTTCTCACTATGCAGGAGCTGTTTGAGCGGATTGACGAACGGGCAGGCGAAAAGTCGACTGAAGTTTCACTTTCCTACCTCGAGATTTATAACGAAACCATCCGTGACTTGCTTGTCCCTAGTGGTAGCAGTGGAAAGGGTGGGTTGATGCTGCGGGAGGATTCGAACCAGTCAGTCTCAGTTGCTGGGCTCTCAAGTTACCACCCGCAGAATGTGGGTGAGGTAATGGACATGATCATGCGAGGAAATGAGCGCCGCACCATGTCTCCTACCGCAGCAAATGCTACTTCATCCCGATCGCATGCCGTCCTTCAAATCAACGTCGCGCAAAAAGATCGAAACGCGGACGTTAATGAGCCACATACCATGGCCACTTTCAGTATTATCGACTTGGCGGGAAGTGAGCGTGCCAGCGCGACACAGAACAGAGGAGAGCGTCTGTTCGAAGGTGCCAATATCAACAAGTCTCTGTTGTCCCTGGGAAGCTGCATCAATGCACTTTGCGACCCGCGGAAGCGCAACCATATCCCCTACCGTAACTCAAAACTTACTCGGTTACTCAAGTTTGCTCTTGGTGGAAATTGCAAGACAGTCATGATAGTCTGCGTCAGCCCCTCAAGCCAGCACTTTGATGAGACCCAAAATACCCTTCGTTACGCGAATCGAGCGAAGAATATCCAGACCAAGGTTACACGGAATGTCTTCAACGTTAACCGACACGTGAAGGACTTTTTGGTCAAGATTGACGAGCAAATGAATTTGATCAATGAGCTTAAAGCACAGGCAAAGGACTATGAAAAGGTGGCCTTTGCTAAATTCCGCAAGCAGGGTGAGAAGAAGGACGCTGTTCTGCGCGAGGGTGTCGCCCGGATTCGCAATGCTTACGAACACACATTGCCCGTGAGGCAAGAGAAGACCAACAACATGCTGAAACTAAGACAAATCGGCCGCAGAATTGGCATTTTATCGTCTTGGATTGCGGCTTTTGATAATGTTTGCGCCGCGCGCGAAAATGAGGAGGGATTATCGAACCTGTATGCTGTTCGCAAATCGGCGCAGGGAATCCTACTTGAACTGGAAGGTAGCAGACATCATTACAACCAGAAATTATCAAAAAACACCTGGGACCGAGCGGTGACCTCGGCGGTCGAGAACTCGGCAAAGCAGCTTCGAGAGTTCGATATTACGGATGACAGCGATTACGCCAATTTGAACCGAGAAGCAGAACTTCTTCGGTCCAATGCAGAGCGCGAAGCATTGACAGCGGTGATAGAACAGGACAAGGCTGGAGAAGCTGCTGCTGTACAGCTTCTGTTGCAAGCACAGTTCGAGATGATGAGCTCCATTGAGGATATCATGCAGCTAAACGCAAGCGAGGCTATTAAAAAGGGACGGGCGATCCTTACAAAGATGTTAGAGGATTGTTCAAACGTGGCAACCAACCTTGTCAAACCAGATGGCACCATGCCGTCTGTCCCCGAACGTCAGCTCTGCCAGGCCTCCTAGCCCCACGAAAACAAAGAAGCGCTTCAGCTTGGTGAGCTTGCCACCTGTATCGAATGCGAACCCCCCCAGTCACACTCACCCCTGCTGCTCCTGCCTCGCCAACTAAAGGCTCTCCCCGTCGCCGTAAAGGAACTGCCGGCCGGAAGAGCGTCAGCTTTACGCCAAAGAAAGTCCAGGTAAAGGTTCCCAAGCGATCCGTCCGATGGAAGGACGATGAGGAAGACGGCACCTTGACCGAGTTCCAAAAGACCCCTAAGAAGGTCGACTCCGCCGATGAATCCAGCTTCGAAGACTCATTGTTGCCGCCTCGATCAGGATCTCCCATTCCACGAAATATTCCGAGGGTTGTAAGCCCATCGGGTTCAATCTCTCCTACCCCCGATGAGCCTGCCGAATTCGCGGGGCCTGCCTTGAATGTTCAAAAGAACAACAGTCGCTTTAAGGCAGGATTTTTGACCAAGAAAACTGGCAGCTCACCATTGGCACCACCACCTTCATCCAGTCTTCCTCTTTCAAGAAGAGAGAGTTCCCCCCTTCGTGATATTGAAGGAAGCAGCTTTATGAACCGCACCTCGACGGAACGTCCATCACGGATTGCGGTTCGTAGTCCCAGCGGGAACTTCTCGAGCAGTCCAGTATCTGAAAACAGGGACAACTGGAAGTCGGACAAGGAAGAAGCAATAAAGATCAATTCGGCCATGCGACGTATGTCTAGTGGGCGGATCGCTAGTGGACAGTTTGGCGCTCAATCCTCCAATGCCATGCGAGTCCACCGTCGTCGCAGCCCGACTTCCAATACCTACGGAACTCCGCCAGCAGACAACCACATGTTCACCGCATCCCAAGCGCGGCGCATGGTGAAGAGCGAGAGAGAACACGACACTAAGCCTCGGGTCTTGAGTCCTCATACTCTCCCAGTCATGAAACACACGGGACGCCGCACAACTTTGGCGGAGACGGTCGACCTCGAAATATCAGCCTATCCAGCAGAGATGCCATCCGTCTCAGTGCGATGGCAGCGCCCCCTACTGACCACAACTCACAAGCGTGGTAGTGGATTCTGGTGACGGCTCCAAATCATTCATGAATGGTTTTGATTTTGTTCTCGATTGTTTGGAATTGGCGTTTTGTTGGCGCGTAACAGATACCACATCTTTTTTTTGTACATTCGTACGGAATTCTTATTTTATTTTGTCCTGTCATTTCTGTCTGTTGCATTTGTTGGTGTTCAGCAGGTCTTTGTACAATAACCATGACAATCGGATAGGGTTATCGGAAGCCCTAATCTTCAATCCCTTCCGGATTTCCCGTGCTGCTTTGTAAAGAAATGACGCCATCTCGAAGCTCCCATTCTCGAGCTCCCTTCTATTTCTTCTCTTTTACCCTTTTCTCCCTTTGTTTTTATTCTTTTATTCTTACATCTATTCTCCTCAAACTACTCCCTTTCTATTACTGCCACAGCACCCTGTACGGCCCCTTTCACTGCCGAACCCCCGACCATCCCCACTTATCAAGTACGTCTCCACCATCACCAGAATTTCAGATGACTTTCGCCGCCCCGATTGCCTCGAACCTTTTCTCACGCTTCTTCCGTTCCTTTTCCACCAGCCCAGCTTTTTCCCTGACTCCAGAAACACAATCCCGCAAAATGTCAGGCACAGAGACCGCGACCGTAGCAGCCGGCTGCTTCTGGGGCGTTGAGCACTTGTACCGCAAGAATTTCGGCAACGGCAAAGGCCTCCTTGACGCCAAGGTGGGCTACTGCGGTGGCGCAGTTTCGTCACCATCGTACCAAGCTGTCTGCTCCGGTACAACTGGCCGTAAGTGCTGTACTATCCAAGACAATAATAACGCGGAGTAGCTTATCGCGATCGCATCTTCAAATACTAATTATTTTTGCCCCTCCACAGACGCCGAGGCCCTCCGGATAGTCTTTGATCCCTCAATTGTCACCTACCGCCAGCTCCTCGAATTCTTCTACCGCATGCACGACCCCACAACAGAAAACCGACAGGGCCCGGATGTTGGCACACAATACCGCAGTGCGATCTTTACGCACGGGGACGAGCAACATAAGATCGCGGAGGAGATTACAGACAAAGTCAGCAAGCAGTGGTATAAAACGCCGCTGTCTACCAAGGTCCTGCCGGCAGGCCAGTGGTGGGATGCGGAGGAGTATCACCAGCTCTATCTTCAGAATAACCCTGCCGGATATGAGTGTCCTGCGCAGTATGTGTCCCTGTCCTTCGAGTTCCATTTTGATCAGGTTGCTAACTTCTTTCTTTTTAGCTTCATCCGACCTTTCCCTCCTTTGACGGATTGACTAGGTCCTAAATTGTAATCTACTTTAGTCTGTGTCTTCATAATGTCCGCGCGAATAAGATTGAATACAAAAGTCAATACCTATAATATGGAACTTTGTGCTTGTTCCTGGTTTCTTCTAGGCCCTGGTTTAGTGCATAAGACTACTTAGTTATAGGTCTTTTCTCTCCTAAAGGACTAGTTTGGAATAATTGTAAGTGTTTCGTAATGCACTTGGTGATGGATATAAGAGGTGATAGCGACGTTAACATACTGCTTCAGTGACTGGATGGGTTTTGGCTTTTGAAGGTGACCTTCTCTAGGTTTATCTTGCACAAGCCTATATATATGCAGAATGGAGGGTAAGGCTATAAGCTATTTACCATCTCCCTAGACCACTATTCCTCCAGGGCTCACTCTAAAGCTTATGTGCTATGTATGGATATATTCCAAGGTTGAAAATTCGCTATGCAGAATGATAGGCTTAAAGTATGGCTAAGCAGACCGCAAGCCCTGTTTCTTTCACCATAGTTGTATTTCGATTTATATTGATCAAAGGATACGTATATTGTTGGAAAGGATAAGATAACATTGTAAAAATGTAGGTAAAGGGGTATCAACTAAGTCTTAATTGTACATATGTAGTCTCATTGGCTTGCCCAGGCCGGGTCTGGTTGGTGGACCTGTTCCCATTCTGTGAGGAGGGCTGTATACATGTAATATTTAATTGTTGGGGGCAATTGCAGAGAGATTATGCTGCCCATATTCAGTATTCTGACCTTGAAATTGATGTTGAATGAGGCTCTATACGTTACGCCTAGAGTACCTGAGATCAACCTTGCAATTTTCCGGGTCCGTGCTTTTTCGGTCTTATCTAATCTTATCAGACACATGGGGTCAACAACCCCGTCTACGGGTGGACGGCAGCAGCCTCGGTCTCAGCCCTCGGGCACTTCCTCCCAACAGGACAGTCTCTTCCAACTCTCTGCAGTTGTCTACCATAGCCAGTCCCTCTCTTCATTATTCTCGGCATCAGCTCAGGTATATAGTCAATATTGCATCACAACGCCTTTCCACTGTTTGACGGAACTTGGTTCTTCCAGGGGACTGCCCGCAATGGCAACCATGGCTCCCATGGCTCTATACAACCAAACCGTGGATTTCCTCTCCGGTGCCTTCTCGAACAACCAGACTCACCTTCAGTTGCTAGCAGTGACTGGGGCTTCATTCACACTTGGTCTACTAGCTCGATCAGTTTTTCCTCGTAACGAATCGTCCCAGACTGTTCTGGTCTCGCCTCGATCGACAGTCTTGCCCGGCATATCCGAGTCGGAGAGACGCAAACTTCCGCTCCCGCCTGATGTATTTCCTGGTGCTCGTGATGTTGCTAGCCCGTATGGGTCGATGCGAGTGTATGAATGGGGCCCGGAAGATGGACCCAAGGTGCTGTTCGTGCACGGTATCACCACGCCGTGTATCTCGCTCGGCGGGGTGGCCCATGCGCTGGTGGATCGCGGCTGCCGTGTGATGCTATTTGACTTGTAGGTGTTGCATACAATCCAAAGCTTCGATTTTATAACTGACCTGAAGAAAATAGGTTTGGAAGAGGTTATTCCGATTGCCCTGCTGATCTTCCACAAGACGACCGCCTCTTCTCGACACAGATCTTGCTCGCTCTGACATCATCGCCTATCTCTTGGACAGGCGCAGAGTCCGGTAAATTCTGCCTTACCGGGTACTCTCTAGGGGGTGGCATTGCCGCTGCCTTTGCATCGTACTTTCCTCAGCTTCTGTCGTCATTGGTGCTCCTAGCCCCTTCGGGCTTGCTCCGCGATTCGCAAATCAGTTTCCAAAGTCGACTCCTTTACTCAAAGGGCCTTATGCCTGAGAATATCTTAGCATACTTGGTTACCCGTCGACTGAAAGCAGGCCCCTTGACCAGGCCCAAGCCAAAGAACAAGAAGCTCAATGCCGCGGATGTACTTTCCGAGGAACTGCCTTCTCAGAGAGCTGCAGCAACCCAAGTCCTGTCCCGAGCATACCCCCACATCAACATCCCGTCTACTGTGGAGTGGCAGGTGAATAATCATCCAGGGTTTGTCCACGCATTCATGTCTAGCATGCGTTTTGGCCCAATCCTGCGAGAGCGTCAATGGAACACATGGACTCGTCTTGGCGAGTATTTAACTGCAAAGAATGGCATCCCAAACAGTGAAAATGAGGAATTGGCAGACAACAAAGTTCACATTCTATGTGGCAACAATGATTCAATCATTGTCAGAAGTGAGCTTGTTCCAGATGCAACGGCTGCCCTGGGTGGCAACGTTGTCTTCAAGTTCTACGAGGCGGGACATGAGTTCCCCAGTACCAAGTACGAGGAAGTAGCATCTTACATTTTCGATTTACTTTGAACAAGGATACACGAAATATCCATTCTTGAGCGGGAGGTTTGGGGTATATTCGCATTGGTCTCTCGTTCGGTTCCATTTGATAGACCCGCTATACATGGAAGTTGGTGTTGGGTTATTCTTTTTTTTTAAATTCATTTGCTTTTATTTCCTAACTTCCAGACTTCAGAATCTCCTCCATGGCATTGAGTTGACTTGATAGCCCCGTGAGGTGTGCCGATCTCTCTAGCATCCGCGCACCGGCAAAGTAAGGGCCCTCAGAAGCTGGTGCTCGTGCAAATCGTTCCATGCTGCTGCGGATGCTTCCGGGTACTTGGCTGATGTTGTCTTGGCTTACGGCGTTTGGACTGGTGCTGGTGGCAACGCTGCGGAAAAGGCCGGTTAGTTGGTCGATACAAGGATGCATTTGAATATAGATATACTCACGTTGTGGTTATTGGCTCCGGAATAGACATTGTGTGTGGCTGGTTGGTGATAGATGTGAGGTTCTCACAGGATGCCCGGAGGAATCAAAGAGTCAAGTCACTGTGAAGTGGCCCAGTAGAAAGACAGAAGGTTGAGGTACTGTGGGGAGCGAGGTATGCGCTTGGCTTTGACCGGTATGTTTAGAAATGAGCCGTAGAGATGAAGAATTATTGAGTTTCTGAGTTGATGATGGCCAGAATACAACTGAGCATGAGCTCCTATATATACACTGCAGGTCTGACGCTATGCATGAGGACGGCATGCCTTTACGGCCGAACACGCGAGCTTGAGCTTCGCATCATGGTCCACATGGACATTACGAGCTAAACGAAGGAGGAAACAAGGAAAAGATCTTCATCGACTGCATAACCCCCACCTGCCATGGGCCTATGATGGCATCTCGACCCTTGAGCTCAAACGTTCGCCAAGGCTGAGTCTGCATGAACCATGCCGGTGCTGGGATTCCTTAAACGGCAAACTCCGAGGGCCCCATAGCAAAAAGCACATACCCGTTCGGCCCATATATGCAAAACAAGCGACAAGTCCGCTCTTATTGGCTGCAATGCAGGTAACCGGGCCGGGGCTAGGAGGCAGGTACCAGCCGCATGAGGATGCGTGGACCTAAGACCCGCTTTTACGATCATCCTGAGCGTAAATACAACATTCTTCTTCAGCACATGGCCAACCACATGTTTCAGGTCTAGGAATATCCACACATTCGACATATGTGCCACGGAATGAAGCGAGGGGGTCCAGTAAACATCAGTTCGAGTTTCTGCAAACGGATCTTCGACAGAGCTATCAAACAAGGGTCAAGATCACGATCTCCATTTGAAGAGACAGACGTCATTTTCAAGGGTCTAGTGCTCCTTGAAACAAACAGATCCCGAGCTATCCTTGGCGGCAAAAGCGCTTCGCAATGGCCGGCATCCTCGCGTGCAAACCTTCCAGGGTGAAACAATGTCGGAGGCTAACGTGGTCGATCACATGGCCAAGTATTAACCAGGGGCTCGGCTCTAAGAGGTCAAAAAGAGAAAATAAAATAAAACAAGGCTCACGCTGCTGCATTCCCGGCCCACGCGCGCCTGCTGCGTGTTTCCTTCATTTCCCTTTCTTGACATCAACGCTGTAGATCCACCAACGGCGAGTTGGAATTAGGGCACTCTACTCTTGGCGCAAGATATTTTGATAGTAACAGGTCCATACCAGTCATACCTTGCCAGCCTTGGGCCTTAATGGTCATTTTGCATCGCCATGATTACAAATACAGGAATGTTTAGGTACTGTGCCAAAATCCGAAGATCACCGAAATGCGAGTGACTTATTTTCGGAAACTCGAAATTGGAGGGTACCTAAGAAAAGGGGGCACATGTATTGCCTTGTTAATGCCGATTATGACGAGTCCAAAGACTGGAAAGTCTCAGGACTGCCACTGAGACCTGAGCCTATTCGCTAATCAAAGGGCTCAATCTTCAATCATTCGTTTACGAGACACGCAACGAGCTTGAGGGTCTGGTCAAAGGCTAACTGAGTGTGCTGACGCTGATCCCTATGTGGTAACAAAGTCTCCTCGGGGATAACAGAATTCTGCTATACTTTGCGGACCGAGGGCAGTGGACCGTACCGCGTACACTAACTATACAGATATACGCGCATTATTGGCTTTCTTTTTCAGTTTTTGGCTAAGCCCAAGCCACTATCGCCATATGGAAACCAGTGTTTCAGGATAATAAGGTTGCTTTTCCCACGCGTATCCAAATTTGCTCATTCCCCTAAGAAATGTTTGGCTAGGTCTCCTGTTTATGCAAGGCACGTCCGCGGAATTCCAGCAACCTTATCTTCATATGCTACACCTCGGTCACTTGGCTCGCTAAGCCCGAACCCCTCAAGCCGATCATTAGTCTCAGGTCAGCTGATCCGGTGGTACGGAGTACATGCGTTGGCGTTGCAGTTCGTGATATGCAACTCCACAGCGATCTCAGCCCTGAGAACTCGAGGCTAAGAACTCATCCCTTATTTTAGACTGAAACGCAGCCCCTGAAGCTTACAGAAACTCAATGGGACCCTTCTTCTAAGGGTGCTCTTCTTGATGTTACCTATCATAAAAGAAAAAGCAAAAACTTGTCCCAAAAACGGATCATCCAAGGGGGGAAATTGACTAGGGCGTTGACAGATGAGGAAGGGATCGTCCACATAGCTTCCTCTTTGGGACATTTGATGCACCTCGGCAATCACTACAGGACCCTTCAGTCTAAAACACAACTCAATAGTTCATCTTCATCCACAGTGGGCTTCGGTATAGATTCCGAAAGCGTATGTAGCTACAGCTTGTTACCATCGCAACTCGTGCTGCGAACATAGCTATGCTACGAGATCGAAATAACGAGTCGACTCTGAAACAGCTAACAGATATTGGGAATGTACTCCGTACCTAGATGGCTTTTTTTCCCACGCGCATGAACGTGGTCAATGCAACTTGTTTAATCCAGCGGTTCTTCCTTTGCCGGTAAGCTGTTTTATCAAACTGCCGGCCTCGGCCACATCCCTCGTGTTTAAACAAGGGATCTTTCGGAATCGGAAGGTACTCACAAGGTCCGTCTTGGTCCAGCTGACGAGTCTATTTTAGACCTTGGAATGGCATAGTCGAGGTGTGTCTAAATGAGGATCGTAATCTGCTCAGCCTTGGCTAAAACGCATGTAATTTGATATTAGGCTCGCAAATTGGTTGCATGAATCAAGGGATGACAGCACAGCCGCATCCCTGGTATGCCCTTGGACTCATTATGTGAATGCTGGGACTGTGAAACGATTTTGACAGTAATTCGACACTTTAATTTTATTTTAGAAGTTAGTGTAAAAAAAGAAATCCAGGGTGATAATCCAATCCTTACATTGCTCGGCCAGACAAATATGTACGTATCATCACACATCTTGAAACATATGCCATGTGAATCAAATCAAATTATGAAGAGTGCAAACAGTGAGAGCACTCGTCACGTTATTTTTCTCCTCGGCTATATCCAGCATTGGCAAGGGTATCAAATCGTACGTAGCAACATGTATTCCGCAAAGAACCAGGCCACCAGACATGTAGAAATGAGGGATGTCAGTCCATCCCATGATCCTCAGTTTTTCGTTGTCTTGTACCAACTCCTCGTTCTTTTTTATGGCTTCCATGCTGGCTCGGTTTCTTGATGGGTTTCCACATCTCGGTGGTCATTTTTGCCAGCTCCAGAGGACCACATCAATGGTTCTTCTCCTTGGGTAGTTTCTGTTACGGTTAAACTTCTGTCTACTTTTGGCTCATTTCTGGCCGTTGAGACCCTTGTGCTGTTACGACACCATGGGAAATTCCTCATCCCGGTGGTCACCATTGATGATCACCGGCTCTGATTATGGCTTATAAGTTACTAACAAGGCTTAGAGCAGAGCAGATCCTTTGGTAAAGGAGCCAGCTTTGGCGCACTCTTGGACATCTCTAGTCCTCCAATGAGACGGCTTGATAACGCGAGTTTCGATCAGGGCAACCACCTTGCTAGTTTGTACTGGATATGTCCAATCATCCTTGGTTTGCAGAAGAACATGATTCATACCGAGACAAACCCCTTGAATAGTATCCCAGTGACCATCAAATTCTCCAGTCTTTGGTTTTTTGGGACTCGAAGGAGTCTGAAAGACTTCGTTCCCTGTTTGCTATGCGGAAACCAGCAGTACAGCGTGCCACTGCAGATCCTGCCTGCCATGGAATCCGGAGCAAGTATTGTGTCTATTCACACCCCTACCTTCCACCAAAGATATGCTGCCTGTGTCTCAACACGGGTTAGGGCAGGAGGGTGTCCATGTACAGGCAAAGATTGTTGAAATGCTAGTCCGGAAAATCCCCCCAACTTAAGCTTGTGCTGTCGAGCTACCAGCCTTGCGGTGCTGTTGAATTGGACTTGGCGAGTGACACGGCCAAGCAATAGTAGGTAGAAGTACAAACATTGTGCATGTCCGAATGTGGCGATGAAACATGCAGATTCAAGAACATAGGAGGAAATAGGAAAGGGATCTAGCTCGGAAAGTCGGCCACACGATCTATCTTTCCTTAAGGTTCCCTACCTACATACATGCATGTATGTTGTAACCTACGCTTGGACGTCCATGTCCACGGTCCTGGGGCCCACGGGTGCTCTGCATAGGTACATAATCACCTGGGCATCTGAGAAGCTTTACGCCTGGCCTAACTCCTACGGCTGCCAAATGCAGTGGCGGTAATATCAGAGAATGGAAGATTTAAGTAGTAGGTGTTGTTCATGGTCAATGTAAGACAACACAGTAAGGAACTTTTAGAAATATAGTATCTGGCTCGAGGCCAAAGGCCGAAACGTCAATTTTGAATATGTACAATAACCACCCGAAGCACCGATGCGCCAATGCAGTAGTAGAAATCTCGCTTCAAAACCTTTGAAAATGGGAAAAAAGAAAACAGAAAGATAGAGAAATCCGCTCTAAATCCTCAAGATTGTCGTCGAGTACGGTCATAGCTGGCGGGGAAGAGCGGCAGCGAAGGGTCCACAACATCATTATATGGTCTTCTGGCCGCCATTGACACATCTTCGTCACTGGGTGGAGCAGTGACAGCGCGCGTAGGATGGGGGTGGCCTTCTGCATCCTCCTCGCCTCTTGCGATCTTCTCGAGGGACGACAACTCGGTCGTCGTTCCGGTGCGAGACCAGCGGAAAGAGTCGCGGTCGTCGCTAAGGGGTTTGTACTTGGTGTCGGGCTTCTTGAAGAAAATGGCGTAAACCATACCAACCAAAAGGTAGATCAGGAGCACAAGAGTGAATAGCGCATTCAGGATGAAGAAGATTACTCCCAGGATACCCGTCATGAGCTCAGGTTGGTCAAAGACATCTGAGAAGACGAGCAGGAAGATCGTGTTGAGGGAATTGAGTACCGTCATCGTGATTGCAACGACATTTGCCCCCTTGCTCATGAACGGCTTGAT